AAAAATCTATGTTACTCAATTTTATAAATTCTAAAACATAGTAAATAATTAATTCGTTTGATCAATTATACATTTTATAAAGCATATGATTTATAGATAATATGTATGTGTGTTGTATTATTTTTGAAGTATTTCCTTATTTTCAGCTAGCTTATTTTCATCTTTTTCATCATATTTACTTTCGTAGGACTTCTTCGCAGTCGATCGCGCTACTGGACAGGTTTCCGTCGTTCGAGCTTTGGATCGTGATATAGCGGCGACGGTAAGCGTTACGATTGTCGTAAGCGATACCACGGCACCTACATTGCAGCAGGGACGAGGTAAATAATATATTTTCCCATAAAATGATTCGAAATATTCTTTATCATTTTTGGCATGCATCATACAACTTTTAATAGGTAAGCTGGTAGTTACTATCATCGACGTGAACCACATGGCGCCAGAATTTCTGAAGCCGTGGACTCGAGAAAGTCCACGGTATCTGATAGAGATGCAAGAGGAACAACCCACTGGTGCTGTCGTGGGTGCTTTTACGGCAACAGACGCTGATAGTAACATAGCGGGATACGCCATCGATCCGCCAAGCCCTTACTTCAATATTGATAATATTACCGGTAAGTTGCTCGTCGTGAATCCCATGTCAGTTTCACGTAAGCCTGTACCGAAAGTCACTGTCGAAAATCAATTTACTTACTCAAGCAGCACTTTACTATACGTAAGTGGCATATTAAAGTAATCTCGAAATCATTTCTGTGAATAGAGAATGTTTAAATATCTTTGTTTTTTCACCGTATTATTATTATTATTACTCTTTTCATTGAGGAATAAATAAATTAGGTAAAAATGATTGATAATAAATCGGGTACATCTTAATGATTTTATGCGAGATACTAAATTTATATTTTTTACTAGCAAAAATCAATTCCCTTCAAATGTGCCTTTGTTTACAGGGATTGTAAGAACTAGTCAGGTGATCGATTATGAAGAAACAAAACAGTTGGAATTTACAGTGGTCGCTTATGATTCTGGAGTACCTCAACTTTCCACAACTGCGAAAGTTACCGTTACTGTGATTAACGTGAACGATCAGGATCCAAAGTTTGAGAAGGAGCTATATAACGCGTCAGTGAAAGAGAATTCTCCGCCTGGCACTCGCGTTACTGTTGTGAAAGCTACGGATGGTGATGAGGGACCTTTCGGCGATGTCAGTTACAGCCTGATTGGAGAACACGCTGCTGACTTTAACATTGGTAAGTTAACAAATACGATCGATTACATAGCTCTGATTGTAAAATATAAAGCCAAATAAATTAAATATCTTTTACTTCTCTTTTGTATTGAATATAAAAGTCTTTTACTTTATTGAATTTTTGATCATCAATATAAAATAATAAGGTTCAATTCTTTAATATTCACATGCAATTTTTAGGACATGAAACTGGAGAGATTACTGTAGGCGGTGCTACAGTTCTTGATAGAGAAGTGACGCCGGAAATCACCATAACGGTGATGGCCAGCGACGGCGCCCATATAAATTCTCGGCGAAGCACCACCGTGCCGGTGGTTGTCAAGTTAATTGACGAGAATGATAACAGACCAATATTCTCACAACACAGTTACAGAGCTTCTGTCGCGGAGAATTTGTCAGTTAATCCGCCGGCACCTATCTTGCAGGTATTGTCATCTAAAATCGTCCTGAATAATCCCTTGAATAAAATAATAATTTACAACACAAATAGATAAGAATTTTTTCAAGTATAATCAACCTTATCTTTAATAGAAAATGTTCGAAAAAATTCGATAAAACTTAAAGTCAATCTTTTCATAGAGAAAATGTCGAGAGAAATCATTCTTTTCACTTTATAATGTTTAATTTCCAATATTCTTTGCAAGATTTTTAATATTACCTAAAATATATAAAATTAAAAAAAATTTTTAAAGTTTATGATAAAATTAACATATTTATGATGTTTTTTAAGGTACGAGCGGCAGATCAGGACGAAGGAACAAACGGCGAAGTTTGGTACACAATCATCAATGGAAACGAGAATGAATCGTTTTCATTAAATCGCGAAACTGGCATCTTGTATCCTGCAGCCGCCCTCCTCGGCAGAGCCGGTTCTTACAGGATCGAGGTCGAAGCACGTGATGGCGCCGGAAGTGGTCCGCATTCGGACAGATGTTATGTCGACGTAAGAGTCACACCTGTGAATCAGCATAAACCGCAGTTCGTAATGCCGGAACTGACAAACGCGACCGTGGAAGTGCCAGAAGTACGTATAGAAGAAAGAATATTTCTTGTTTGTCAAAAATAATTATAAATAATCAATATAATATATAAAATATTAATGTAATATATTAATTGATGATTAATTTTCAGAATGCAGGTGTGCCGAATTATCTAATATTAACTGTAAAAGCAATCGACAGAGATCCTGGCGAGAATGGCCGTGTTAGCTACCATTTGAAAATCGGCAATAGAAACGTTCAGGAAACTGAGGAATTTTCTATAGACCAAGAGACCGGTGAACTTCGATCGAAGATCATTCTCGACCGCGAGATCAAGAGCAAATTTGAAGTAAGTAATATATGAAACCATTTTCTAATGAGTTCGAAATTCTATGAATATTTCCTTTCAGCTTGTTCTTGTGGCAGCTGATCATGGCAGTCCTACAGCGTACGAAACACTTCGTTTATTAACAGTTCAATTAGTTGATACAAACGATAACGTGCCGCAATTCTACGAGGAATATAATTTCCATATATCCGAGAATCGACCAAAGGATTATTTTATTGGCAAAGTTACAGCGGAGGATAAAGACGAAGGCAGACATGCCAAGGTTTATTATTACATAGAAGCAGGTAAATAAATAATATACACAAGATATCTAAAATCATACTTTTCTTCTAGTTATATTTTCTTACAATTTTTTGATAAAAAAAATATTTTTCGATAAATGTTTTCATAATTTGAAGGTTCAGATATCTTACGAATGTATTATTTATTTTTTAAGGAAACGAAGGATACGCATTTTACATGGACAAATCTGATGGCAGTATCTACGCGAACAAATCATTTGATCGCGAGACAAGAGATAAATATGTTCTTTCTATTCTTGCGTCCAACGATCCCGATCTTTACATCAATCCTGCGCAATCCGGCCGACCATTGACTCACAATCCGGAACACGGACACGTGAATGTAACAATAACTGTGTTGGATGAAAACGATAATCCGCCCATTTTTGAGCGCAATGATTATTATGCCGGTGTGAATTCCATGGCAAACATAAATGACTTTGTGACCAAAGTAACTGCCTCCGACTTAGATGTCGGAGACAACGGTACTCTCCATTACTATGTCGCCAGCGCGAATCTTTACAAATATGGCTCGGAAAAGCCGAGCGGCTCGATAGTGCCAAGCCCGTTCAACGTCACGCAGGATGGTAAACTCGTTACGAGCGGATACATGGCGGAATATAATCAAGACAGATTTATTGTCGAAGTTATCGCCAAGGAGACAGCCATTCCAGAAAGATACGCGATGACGAGAGTTCATGTAAGCTTTTTGCAATTGTCATTGTTATTATCTTATATTAGTTTCACATTAACATTATCGACTTTGTGACGTGATATTATTATTAGTATTGTATATTAGTTTGTAAAATTTTTTTAACACAATTGCTTTATTAAATATCTTCATTTTATAAATTTAATTAATTTTTATTTTTTGTCAAGGTATGGGTATTTGAACCATCTCAATTAATACGAGTCATATTGTCCCGGCCTCCGGAGGAGGTGAATAGCGAACGCGACGAGATTGTTTCAGAATTATCCAATGCTACACAAAGCAGAGTCGTAGTGGATGATATTAGATATCATGTTGACGCTTCTGGACATATCCGCAGAGAATGGTAATTACACGCAGATATAATTCTTTCTGAAATTTTTATATCACAATTTATACATATATATCGCATATATATATATATATATATATACATCGCATATCATCTATATGAAATAATTTTTTAGGTGCGACATGTATTTGCACGTTGTCGAACCGAAAACTCAAACTATCGCGCCGATACCTCATGTGCTCAAAGTCATTGATGCGAAGTATGATTTTTTAAAACACTACTATGCTGGGTTTGCCATAGAGAATGTTGTGGTAAGTACCGTGACATCGCGATTTAAAACTGTAGAAATGATTACTTTATAAAAGTAAACTAAATAAAATAAGTTTCCTTATAATATAACAACCGATAATATTACTAAAATTATTGAATATGTGCATAAAACTTACAATTATTTCAGCCCGCATATGCTGGAATTCAAGAAGAACCATTCGATCCTGCACTCGCTGCTTTAATAGCTCTTTTAGTTGTTCTACTCGTAGGTGCGGTTACTGTTACAGTCGTTTGCTGCTGTCTACGCCATTGGTAAGACTACTAAGATTTCAGACATGTTCTTATCTTACTCATTCATTCAATACATCTACATCAATAATGCTTCAGGGTGATAACTGTGCCAAATGATATACGTAAGAAGGACGGCCTAATTAAGAAACAGATCATTGACGAATTGAACACAACGGAAAATCCTCTATGGATCGAGCAGTAAGTCTTATTTCTCGCGCATGCATGACCGTATGTGTGATATATGACGAAGTATTGTTCTTGATTGTAGAAAATTGAAGCTCTACGAGGAGCAGGAGTTAACGATGCAAGTGTTCAGCGAGCCCGAGGGCGGTCTCGGCGGCGAGAGACGCGGCAGTGGCGTAAGCGTCGGCATGGGTGATACATCCCAAGATAACACTTACGCAACCATCCAACATCCATTGCCTACGAACAGGCATCGTCCGACTACGCCGGATTATACGACGCTACCAGGAAATCATAATGTAAGTCGAGTAATGCTAATGGGTATTATAAGATTAAAGCCTTGTTACCTTGACAGACTTAACTCTGATTAGTGATTCTCTCTTTGAGATCATAGTTTTAGTTGTAATGGAGTGTTCTGAAAATTACGATAATCAATATCAGTTGCACGATATTGGAATTAAGTAATGAATTACACAACTTGGAATGAAAAGAACGTGTGCATTATATACAGACAAATAGAATATTTGGTCTAGTATCTTTTTATTTTAAGAATTCATAAAAAATTGTTAATAATGCATAATAGATGTCAGTGTAATTAGTCTTCGGGCTCTTACAGAAATTTAATGACAGAAAGAAGTGATTAATTATTTTTTTTTTAAGTATTAAAAGCATTATTATTCATTGTTGTGCTTTTAATACTCGAAGTAAGTAATTTCCAATATTAAATTGTATTTCTATAAGGACTGTGAAACATAATTCTTAAACACGCAATTTGTTTTTATGCTTCAGTTATACGAATCGGCAATGGGTTTTCAAGGATCAACGTTTCAGCCTTCCCCGAACGTGATGCCGCAACTGACGGTCGACCGCGACGGCCAGCCTCAGTTCGTTTCGGGGCTAATATAAATCAGCTCTGATACACGGGCACACTCAGCCCATCCTCTCCTCCTCCCTTTCTATCTCTAAATAAGCTCCGTCGCCGTACGTTGTACCTCTTTGTCCGCGGCTCTTTTTCATTGCACGCGCCTCTTCGGAGCGTACTTCGGGCGACTCGCATGCACACACCTCTTTGACAATAACCGAGTTAAATATTGGTCGGGTTTGTCCTGCGAGTAGACGCGTGTACGAGAAGAGCGACACGACACGACATGACATGAAACACGAGACACAACATTCGCGAGATCCGCCCTTTCTCACTTGCGTGACTTTTGCCATTTTCAGTTCAGACTCTTCCGCGAGAGCTTGCGAAAGGACTCATGATGAAGAGTGACGACGAACGACACAGTCAATATTACTGGAGTAATTAATCCCTGTAGCTGGTGTGTGCATGTATATATGTGTGCGTTGCCAACCTGGGGTCCCGTCAGACTTTATCGTTAGAACTACTTTTTAGAAGAATCAAAAAAAAAAAGCAAAAGAAAAGAGAGAGAAGAATATAAGCTAGGTAAAATAGATACTGTGTGTGAGATAACTCGACACGACCGAAGCTTGGCACGACAGATATATGTATATAAGTGAATGTGTAGATTCCGTCCAGCCCAGTTTTTGTATTACTTTTCTCGTTAGTTTAATATTTATACGTTTCCGAGGTGCATATATGCGTTCGAAACGCGAACGCATCTTGTACGTTTTACAACGATCACTGCCACGTTTCTGGCATCTAAGCGATGCGGATTGCTGTTGATGGAATTTGGTGAACGAACAATTACGTCATTGTTGCTATTCGCACAACGGAACGTTTATAATTAAGATAGTGCGTATAATTTCTAAGTTAGTACTGTTAATTTCGTGTTAGTATATTTATTTAAGATAGAATATTAAATGACTGATATTTTCTCTTCTTTCCAAGTAAACTGTGATTTGATTGCGCCCAAGTATGAGTGTGATAATTTAACTCGTAATAATTTTGCACGAGTCACTGGCGGTGGGCGGACATAGTCATATCATAGTTAGATGAAGTAATGACGCTCGCAGCGAATTCCAGTGTCATTACGGCGAAATAATCTTGCCTTCGAAAACCATGTCGACTTTACACTTTAATAGCGACTTCACAAACCGTCCTCGGCTGAGAACACAGAGATCGTGACCTTCGGGAATTCCCTGCGGATGCCACTTTCCGTAAAAAAAAAAAACGTATCGCAACTACTCGATAACAACAGTAACTTAACTTACGATCGAGTTATTTCTAAGAACATTTAATGTAAAACTATTATCGGTATCATGATATTACTAGATGGTTATGAATATTCCAGTTAGCAAAAGTATCTGTTTTATTAATTACAAATTTATTGTAATATTGTAACATATTTTATGTAAGTCATTAATAAAAAATATTCATACACCAGATCTTGAATTAATCTGTAAAATACATGGACCTATTTGAGATCAACTGCTTTTCTTTACTTTTATCTTGATTGGCATTGTTCAAACAATTCAACTTGTAGGATTTCTAAGATAGTTTTCAGTTTGTTCTTTTTTTTCCTCAAGATTGCTTTCAAAGCCAAGTTCCTGAAAGTTTTTGTTTTTTGATTTTGGTGTAAAATCTAATATCCGAACCAGTGATTCTGGCTGATCGAGCCATAATTTGTGTCCTTTTGTTGTAGGATACCTCTTACTATTCATGCAAGTTAAACACGTCCATTTGACACCCTTTATGGGCTTTGATACTAATCTAACTCTTGCTGTCTCCCCAGGTATGAGTGGACTTTGACAACATTTACATATAGTTCTTTTTAAATTTGGTTCCCTAAGATAACGAATCATTAACATAACTCTTATAAATAATTCCTTTTAATAAATCTAGAAACTTACGTGCGCAATACTGCCTTCTTAGCACAAGCAAACATATGATTACCAAAGTAAGATGCCATAACTCGATTCTTTAATGCCATTAGATGACTAGCCTGCAAGGAAATATTGAATCACAATAACGTATGTTTCTACATTATTTTATCAAGTAAAAATTATCATAATGGGTAAGTAAATATCGCTTATCGATGGATGATAAATTTCAAATTATTCCTACCTGATACAAATAATTCATTCTTTGAAAAACGTCTTTGTGTTGACAAATTTGATTCTTTTCTATAAACATGTGTATATATTATAATAAATGTATATATATTTAGAAACATTTTAATAATATTTAACTCACTCATTATAAAATTGATTGCTTCAATTTAGATCAATAAGCAGTCTGACAATTTGTTGAACAATAACGTAAACAATGTGTCAGTAATCAATTCCTCAATGTTTCACACTTTTAAGGTTAGGTTGAACCAGTTGGGTTAAGTTAGATTACTTCCGTGCGGGGATTATTTGCAACAAATGGCAGCTCCTCAAATAATGATACCTGCCTCGCTGGAATAAATTTTTTGGAGATTAAATAAATACGAAGGCCAGAGCAAATGATAGCAAATAACAATTTTATTTTTCTCACAATACTTTATTATTAAACTTTTCAACTAAACAGGTATATCTTTTAACAACGCAAATAATAGATATATCTTTTCTTTTTTACATTGCTGAAAAATAGAAAAGCAGAAAATATGTATGGAATCGAGATTATCTCCTCAATACTTTTGTAATTTGTTTTGAGTAATTTGATTTTTTTGCACCAATGTGTTATTTATAAACGCTCCTTTTCCATTTAGAATCTCTGAATGTAAAACTGATTCTAGACTTTTGAATACAGGCGTTGCGATACCCTTGATGATATTCTTCTGGCTTGCATTGGAAGAGTCCGATTCTCTGGATTTAGTCTTACATTTCCATGTCAAGTTCGGCGTAAATTCAACCTCCATATCAAGCATCTCTTCAGTATCAAAAGCACTATCATTTATGGAATTCTGATTATCGTTTCTAAAAGGAAAGAAAAACATCATGAGCAACTATGTTCGATTAATATTCGTTTCTATCAATGTAGATTAACTACAATTTTGATTTCGTTTACTTTTTATCTTTTTCTAATTCTAAGAATTAGGAAAAGATAAAGAGTAAATTAAACCGAGATTACAATTAATTTACATTGATAGAAATAAATTATATTATATATACTTCCATAAGGAATTGTTCACAACGTAGCAAATAACGATTTTATTTTCTTTATTGTTTTATAACTTTTCAATTAACTCTTTGTTAGAAAAAAATACATTAAAAAATCCGTAAGGATCTATTTTCAATTTTATCATTTCTGTTGTTACATTATAATTATTAAAAAATTATATAGTAAGTAACTTAGAACACATATTATAAATTATATACTTTCTGCGTTCGATTTAAACCCTTTTAGTGCTTTCCTTTCACATAATAAACGATAAAGATAAAATGATGATTATAAACACTTAAAACTTGAGTGATTAAATCAAACTCAGCTTCTGTAATATGATATTCTATATATAAAATTGCAAATGTAGAAAAAATCTCAGGGAAAGCTTATTCAAATTATAGGTAAGCAAAAATATAGTACCGTAAATGATTCTCTTGTCCATCATTACTCTCGTCATACTGATAGCCATATTCTGCTAGAACAATGTCTAAATTGTCACACTGCTCTTTTAAATCTTTGTACATCTCTTGCGACTCTTTCAGTAACTGATCTGTCTTATCCAAAGATGGTTCCAATTTTGATTGAAGTTTTTCCACCTCAACCTATGATTAATTGCACAATACATATAATCAAATGCTCACTTTACAATTTCTTCATAGTTAATACACTACTCATAATACATGATATCTTATTTTATATACTGAGGATATAATTCAAGCTGTATTTCAAAATTCATTGCTAATGCTGTAAATCTGTAATAGGCATAACATGAACTATGCTGGCAGTGAATTGGCAGTTTTGGAACATTCGTGGAATGATTACTTAGCAATATAACCAATGCTGTTTGAGTAAGTAGAAACTATGATAAGAGTATGTTGGAGCATATATGCACAATGACACAAATAAATCTTAAGATATAGACGTTATCATTTCAAAATAATAAAAAAATTATTGAACAATTGCAGATTATTTTAAACCATATTTAAAAGTAATACAACAAATTTTTTTAGTGATGATTTATCATTTGGATTATGAGTTATTTCAAAATAAGAAGTAGTATTTTTTTAAACCAGTGCTCTAATAAAAATATATGGAAACTTATTATAAAATAAATGACAAAAATCACAATTTTTTAATAAGTACCTTATGTATTAAGATAATTTATGTACAGTAGATTACATCTAATTTCTGCATCCAGTAAATAAATAAAACATTTATTCTAAATTTTTGTAACTAATAAATGATGAAACTTTGCAGTTAAATTATTTTGAATACTTAAAGTACTTATACAAAAATATTTAGAGATTTTTGTTATTACTTTTTAAATTTTAGTTTATAACAATGAAATATAAATAAATAAACAAACTAAAAAATGTGTTATTTAATAAAAACAAAATGTTATAAATATAACGTTTATATGTATATAGTTTGTTTAAAATAAAAATATTAATATAAAAATGTATATGTCTATCAAATATCATTAAATACTCAACCTTCCATTGTCCAATTGGGTCTTTAAAAATCCAGATAAATTTTCTATTTTGAATCATTCTGTCTTAAATTCGATCTCGTATAAAAAAAGTTTAAAAATATTTCAAATTATATCATTTTAAATTGTATTCTTGAATGTTGAAAGAGTACAAAAATTTTTTCAAACTTTTTAGATTCAAAAATCCTTTGAAAAACACAATCAGGCACTAGTGACCCGCTTAAGGAATAGAAAAGCACTAAAAAAAATGTTGAATTACATAGAAAATGGTCACATAGGAGGATTGGGGAACGCAAACTCCGAGATAATATTAACCGAATAGTATTTACGCCAGTATTCCTTATAGACTCCCACAACCCTTCCAGGTAAACATTAGTCTCAGTTGTACGCTCCGCATAGCCACCGATCAGAAGTTGCGGAGTTTTCCAGGTCTCAGAAAGTCTCGCGATACCTTCATCGATATTACGTGTTTTGCCTCGCAATCTGTCGAAATAATTCGAACACGACGCAAATGTACTTTTCTCCATCCTTTGTTACCAGCTACACACCAATGACTGAAGAATGGCTGATTTTCGGTTTGTTGTTTACAGCCAAATTGAATTGTTTCCAGTTTCTCTACTTTTCATTTTTCTTCTCTTTTTCTCCAACTAGAGAGGAACTTGACAGAGGACATAAGGGCCTTTTTCTTATAATCGTAAAATACCTGCACTATTGCCCTCTAAAAAAGTGGATGTAACTATACAGCAACATCCACTTTTCTGCACTGAGGATATATACATCCACTTTTCAAAACTGATAAATCGATATTTGGTTTATTACCGACAAGATATTATTAAACACCGTCGGGGCCTTGAGCAAATTTTCGTAACCAGAGTACAATATATAGAGCAGCGCAACTCTCTTAGCACCTTTAATGTTAGTGTTGACCAAAATGAAGTGCGTATGCGTAAAATAAGTAAAGGTTTGTTAGCGTCACATACTCTAATATGCTCTAAATCATCCTTCCATATATCATAGAAATGACAGAGATTATAATTTCATTATATTATTTCGTTTATGCAAATTTATATTTACTTTTTAATTTTTAAGGCCGGAATCAGACTACGTATTGAAAAATGAGATTAAAGATTGAAAGATTGAAGTTTGACCAACCAGAACAAAAAAAACCAAAATTCCTTTGTCTACATTGGTGAAATTTCAATATTTAATTTTTAATCTTAATCTTCAATGTATAGTCTGATTTCGGCCTTATAGCGTTTTTCATTGGCAGAGGTGATACGCACTCAGTTTAAAGTCATTGTACATAAATCGACGTAAAGATGTACGAGTATGTTTAATAAAAATATAGAAACGAATTTAACCGCGAAATCCTCAATATATTTTATTGTGGTATTTGATAAAATATATATTGAGTATTTTGTTAATTGAGATATCTCACTTTTACATTCAGATTAAGTTAGTGTAAAACAATTTTAATTTGCACTGAGCGCGCACCAGTTCTGCCAGTGAAAAACACTATTAGTCTATTATCGATATTCATAGACAGAGATGGCGGAGATTCAAAGAGAGATGCTTGCAAATTGCACACCCCATATTATCCTTTTCATCATGCGTCAATTCGATCATTGCACATCTGATCGCCATTAGTTTTAGTTTGGACATTTTCCACCATGCGGCGTAGTTTTTGGTCGTGCATAAAGCCACTAAATTAACAAAAGCCGGTATTTATAGTCGGATCTTATATTCAAGACCATCTTAAGTACGGTCTTAAGAAGTTACGAATCAATCAGAAGGCTGCATTAGCGCCTTAAGACATTACTTAAGACGGTCTTGAAATAAGACTAGACTATAAATACCGGCCAAAGTACCGCGCTAAGAAAATTCATTGAATTAGCATTTGGAGTCAAAATGACGTCGAAGTGATATCCTAAACAGTTTCTGTTTAAAAGTCAGAAATCCATACATGAGACTGGAAGAAGAAGAAGAAGAAGAAGAAGAACCTGATTCTGTTATTATCGAAAATGCCCAGTTGCTGTATTGAAAATTGCAAAAACCGCAACAAAAGAGGCTGAAGTGTTGAATAATGCGCTTCATGGAGCTAAAATGGCGGCACTCGCGATACTTTAGATCTGTTCGCGTCGCATGCTCTGACATGCTCTAAAATGCTCTTATTATAGCATTTACTCACTCTAATGCGCTCGTTAAAGTGAGTAGGAGCTATAATAGGAGCACATTAAAGCATGTTGGAGCATGCGAACAAACCTTTTGTTAATATAGGATACGGTCGACATGCCGTGTGTGTGCAAACGCTTTGAAGCATTTTTTAACTAATCAGTTCGTAAAATTCTTTCTTCTAATTGGTCCATCAAATGCTTCAAAGCATTTGTAGCGATATTTTGACCACAGCCATAGTGACTTTAGTCCCGCAGATCACGCACCAATCGATTGTAAGATTATTAGCCGCCTCGTCGTTTTGACAGTGCGCATGAGTGATGGAACACGCGACAGAGAGCGCAGTTTTGATTGGCCGCTTGAGTTATTTTAAAAGAGACGAGGCGCTGCGTTTTTATAAGTATCGTGTAGTTACCCTGAGAATTCTGAAGAACTACTCGCCTGCGGCGGACGCGTCTCAGCTCGAGTGCTATAAGTTATATTTTTGAAAGTGTTGCCGACTTTAAACAT